ATATTCAATTGTTTCATATTAAAATTTGAAAACTATCAAACCAAAATATATATGTATATATATAACTATATATATACAAAACCAAAACGTGTATGTGTGTATATGATTGAGCTTACTTGAAGAAAGATGTAAACTATTGTTATGAAGTCTATAAACAATGAATGTAGTATTTTATCAAAATACACATATAATGCACTAAAACATGATTTCATTTAACTAACTAAAATTGATATTGATGAAATCATATATATGCATGTAAGTATGAAATAAAAATATGTTTTCTAATTATATTCATTTGTTTCATATTAAAACTTGAAAACTATCAAACCAAAACATATATGTATATATATAACTATATATATACGAAACCAAAGCGTGTATGTGTGTATATGATTGAGCTTAAAGTACTAACACACATAATATAAAACCTAAAACTAAATTTACCCAAGCTTGTGATCTTCAACGAAGCTCTATCTTGGTACACTTGCGGATGAAGCTTGAACTTGAATCTTTAACTTTGAATTGCGTAAGCTTCACTCCACAATTCCGCCAACCTCCATTGGATATGATCGTGAATGCGCAATTCCATCCATCCTCGAACATATTGTTTGTCTACAATAAATAAGAAAACACGAATACTAGACAAACAACATTAGTGATAAATTGTTTGTTAAACATCATCAAAACAAAAAGGCCAACAGTGAGGACGTAGTCAATATCAAGAGGAGTGGCGTCGGTAGTAAAGCCTAGAGAGGGGTAGTAAAGCCGAGCACTTGAGGGGGGCGATACGTGAGGACCAATACTTGAGATTGTAGTTTATGTATGTACATTGTGAGAGACTTGTAGAGTTTTCGGTGAGCTAGAAAACCGAGTGTGTTGAGAAGTTCCGGCTTTCAAACCGGGTGTGCCGAGATAGTGGAGATCTCATCGAGATGAGGAGCGGAGACATAAGTCGTGGGGACCGAACTACGTGAACATATCTTGTGTTTGATTTTGCTTTGTGTACATTTATTTTGTGCTTGTAATTTATATTCTTGCTCATAACTCACTCATATATCCTTTGCAAGAATTAATTAATCAAGAAAGTTTTAATCGGTATTAATATCTAATAAGATTAGCAATAACCCTATTCAACCCCCCCTCTAGGGTACTTTCATAACCCTCCTTTAATCTGTGAATCTTTTGATATGTTTCCGTATTAAAAATATTTTTTATTATGAAATTCACTTTAAAAACATGCACGGATTTAGTTTTCACTTTTTGGATGTGTAAAATATATTGATGAATGTAGATTTTAATTTTTTCCCCCTTAAATAGATCTTGCACAGCCTATATACTTTGTAATGTTGTATGTTTTCTAAATTTCTTGTTGTTGGATTCGTCACCATGTTTCATTTTTAACAGACTAGGAGTTTTTCTGAGCTAACATGTTTGTATTATCACCCACGTCTGTAATAATTAATAACTACACACAAATATGATGAGTATCGTATTGGATCCATGTCCTTTTCGCTCATGCTTACTATGATGGGTGTAAATTGTGCGAATGTAAGAAGTTTTTGTTGCGGATGGATGGATGGAAGTCATACGTTGTCAACGTATTCAATTGTGATGTTAGGCTATCGTAAGCATGGGCATCCTCTGCTCACCATTTACCTAAAAACTCATAATGTATTTGTAAATTATTGAGTTTAGTTAGTAGTTTATAGATTGTTCTAATCATGCTTATGGAGATATTATTCTCGTGCTTAACAATTTTAAGGCGCCTAAAAATTGTGATTCTTCGGTTTGTTCAACCAACCGTTTACGTAATTTAACACTGTTCTCAACCTAACCTATAAAACTGAGTAATGCTTTTAGAAATTCTACAGTGTCTATCTGTCCTCCGCGTTCTATGATTGGTACCCAAATGCAATTGCAATTCTCTGATGTATTATTTCTACAAAACAATTTAGGTTTGGTTTGGTAAAATTATTACCTTAAAGTTGAATTTATACATAGATGACTAGATACATGCCACGACTATCAACTAATTTTGGCGCCAACACTCTCGTGAGAGTAGAAAGCTTAACTGAACTCCGCCCTGTGAGAAGTTTCCTGAGCCAAAATTAAGGGACGGTGAAAATTTCAAAAAACAATTGTAAAATTAATGATGGGTAAATTTCCAAAAAACAATCCAAAACATCTGGCGATTCACATAAACTCCACCTGAACTATGTTTTTCCCACAAAATCTCAATAACAGTCTCCTACAAAAGCCTGAAAAATTGACTCAAATAACCCTTCAAGACATTTAACTTTTCCTAGAAAGCTCCCTAAAGAGTTCTCTTGCAGTTGGAGAACCTTACTGTCTACCCAGTTATGTTCTTTTTTTTTTGTTTTCTCTGTAAGTTATCTTCTCCTCTTCTCTTTGCTTTTTTGAGGTTTTAGGGGAATAACTAAAAGTTTAGAGGGGTTATTTGAGACACTTTCGCGTTTGGAGGATTTTGGGCTAAAAACTTTGGGTTTTTTTGTAAACTCCCCCTTATTTTGGGGATTTTTTGTGAAATTTACCTTGAAATGATTGACATCCTGCGCTAAAATTTTAGTTCGTCCGACCGTTGCGAGAAAGTGAGGAGAGGGGAGCACAAAGATGAGAAGGCCAATTTAACTGCTGACGTGGCAAGTCGCATGTGTGGTGTTGATGGACGATTAGCTGGCTTTTAGGCAAAGCTTTTGAAGTGTTTTTTGGTGGAAAGAATAAAGCTCAAAAAAAGAGAAAAAGCTGCCCAAAAAAACGACCCCATTCATATAACAGTGCGCCAATCCACTTGAACTTGCTCAGCTTTTCTGAGTTGATAATTTCCCTTTTTCTTTTTTTTCCTTTATTAGCTTTTGTTCTCTTATGATTAACATTTTAGCCAGTGACGGAGCCAGGATTTTAATCTTACGGTGTCTTATAGATGTATCGGTAATTGTGGAAAATACATCTCTCTCAACATAAGCCATCAAACTATCATTAAGCTGAAAAAATTCGAACCCGCGCGCATGCTGGGTTCCTTGCGAGATTCGAACCCGACTATCATTAAGCTGAAAAAATTCGAACCCGCGCGCATGCTGGGTTCCTTGCGAGATTCGAACCCGCGCGAATGCTGGGTTCCTTGAGATCCTTTTCCGCTAAATCATCTATACTTTTGTTATTTTTATATGTGTTCTCTGGTAGATATTCAGTTTTTACTGATGTCCTGGGAACCCAGGGGCACCCATTCAGCTCCGCCCCTGGTTTTAGGGGAAGTATTGTGTGGGAGCTGTTATCTTCAAGGAAAGTTTTAAAGTTGAAATATTATTGTACATCCAATCGTTTACAGTTTAGTTCAAACACATTAAGATCCTGTGAGGAGTCGGATATGCGTTACTTCTGTATGACATACACTAGGGGCCTGTTAGGTGAACTCTCTTGGTCCTCGTTCCATTTGGGAAGTAGACTGTTTGGAAAAAAAAAAAGTTTTTCTTAGGTCAAAAAGGAACATCTTAAATTGGTTCTATTTTGATCTACCGTTCTCTTTGATGAAAAAAGAACTGGTTTAAGTCAAAACTAGGCCAAAGCTGATTCTGGTTCGGTTTTGAGGAGTTCGCCAAACAAAGTCTAGTTGCTTTTGTTAAAACACAATCACAACTTTCCTTCGAAGTCCTTGATTTATATCGAATCCGTTTTATAAATTACCTATCTATATCTGCAATAATTATAATCCATTACCCCTAACTGGATGAAAAATAAATGCTAGTAAACTTAATTCATAACTATATATCCACATGTGTATTAACTCTCTAATTACCGATGACGATTGTTGTTTTTCACTGTATATTATTTATAGTCATATATATATATATATATATAGAGCAAAACTTCTGTCAACTTAAGTGGACGTCCACTAAGTTTCTTATCCATTGATGATCACTTGATTGAGCTACATTGTGGATGATCCGTTCCGTTCAACTTGATCTACATATTCTAAAACCCCAACACACCAAATTTGGGGTGAACCCGTCGTAGTTTGACCCTTCATCCACTCGTATCAATTTTAACGGTTTCGAGTGAATAGAACTTTTTACATGGCTCGACGGAGGGTCAAACCACAACGAGTTCACACCAAATTTGGTGTGTTGGGGTTTTAGAATATGTAGATCAAGTTCAACGGAGCGGATCATCCACAATGTAGCTCAATCAAGTAATCATCAATGGATAAGAAACTTAGTGGACGTCCACTTAAGTTGACAGAAGTTTTGCTATATATATATATATATATATATATATATATATATATATATATATATATATATAGACTAATCCTGAGATTAGAGGCATTTTTCTATGAAGGATTTTTGGTGAACACTAATAGTGAAAGAGAAGTGACGTGAGAAAAGTTAAAAGTTCAGAGGTTATTTTAGACAAATCAAAGAACTAGGAGTTCAGGGGACTAAGAGCCAGTGCAGCAAGCTCCCAGTTGGGAGTCCTAGTCAGCAAGCTCTCAAGAGCTCTCAACCTTTTTGGAATAAAAAAATTAAAAAAGTAAGTCTTGAGAGGCACTCATTCTTTTATGGAGCTCCAACAAGCTTCTAGTTAGGAGCTCCAACAATATCAAAAAAACCCCTCTTCTATTTTAATATTTTACTCATTACTTTTAATTATATTTAAACCTCTTGTATTTTATTTCTAACCGTTGGATACGGCCTTCGAGCGAGCGCACACGGTCTTCGAGGCAACCCACGGTCTTCGAGGGAGCGCACACAGTCTTCGAGGTAACTCGCGGCTTTTGAGGGAACGCACACGGTCTTCGAGGTAACTTGCGGTCTTCGATGTTGGGCACGAAGTTCGAGGTATCGCAAACTTTAACTTCAGTTCAACACAAACGACGTATCGTGCTCCATCGAAACCGACTGGAAGGCCACAATCGGTTATTCCAAGATTATTTTGCTGACGCACCAACCTATCCTCTTTATTATTTTCGTCAAAGGTTCAGAATGAGGCGTTCGTTATTCCTTCGAATCCACGACGTAGTCGTCGAACATGACAAGTACTTCGTCCAAAAGAGGAATGGTGCTGGACAGTTAGGACTATCTAGTCTTCAAAAGATTACTGCAGCTATGCGGATGCTCGCATATGGAGCATCCGCTGACTCCGTTGACGACTACGTTCGGATCGGTAAACGTAAGTCGCTTGAGAGCATGAAGAGGTTCGTTCGATCGATTATCAACATCTTTGGAGAGGAATACCTTCATGCACCGACTAATGAAGACGTTGCACGCCTGCTTGAGGAAGGCTCACAACGAAGTTTTCCTGGTATGCTTGGGAGCATCGACTGCATGCACTGGACATGGAAGAACTGTCCAACTGCCTGGCAAGGTATGTATACTGGACATTTTCATGAACCCACAATTATTTTGGAGGCCGTAGCTAGCAAAGATCTTTGGATATGGCATGCCTTCTTTGGACTGCCGGGGTCTCACAATGACCTTAATGTTCTACATCGTTCACCGGTTTTCGCACAACTTGCGGAGGGAAGAGCTTCACCGTGCAACTATACTGTCAATGGCCACGAGTATAATATGGGATACTATCTCGCCGACGGGATTTACCCAGAGTGGTCCACATTAGTGAAGACTATTCCAGCACCTCGAGGAAACAAGCATAAGTACTTTGCTCAACAACAAGAAAGCGCAAGAAAAGATGTTGAGCGAGCTTTTGGCGTGTTGCAAGCTCGATTTGTGATTGTTCGTGGACCAGGACGTTTCTGGCAACCTTGTGTGCTGAAAAATATCATGACAGCTTGTATCATAATGCATAACATGATCGTTGAAGATGAACGTGATAGTCAATTGGACAACAACTTCGACTTTACTGATTCGGTACCAGTCGTTGAACCTTCTCATGTGCAGACGGAATGCCAATTTTTTCAACTTCAAGTACAATCATAAATCTAATATAAGATAATATTTGATAATTAGGAAGAACTAATGAGGATGCGATGCGAGTACAATATATGATAATTAGGAAGAACCCTTGGACATCCACCTCTCCAATATCTCTGCCTGACGCATTTCAAAGTATTGTCGTTGAACTGAATTGAGTGTTGAGAGATCGATCTTCATGATATCGTCATCTTGTTTCTTCTGTTTTAGTTCCATTTTTCTTTGTTGGTTTGCTTCATCCACGCGAAAGCCTCTCCCATAATGGACTTAGCGGACTCAGATTTGTCCACATTTTGTTTCCTCTTGAGTTTTGCCGCTTTCCTCCCTTCAGGCCTTGCTATAACATCATCCGAGTCAGTGTTCAACTCGATGGGGGTCGCTGGCATGGAATTGTTTGGTGAGGAATCAGAGTTCGTGGTTCTTCTCGGCTGTGATCGAATCTTATTGTAATTTTCCATTTGTTGGATCCACTTTTGGTGATGACGCAACTCAACCCAGCAATGGTCAAATACGAATGGCTTACCATAAAGGGATTGGTGTAATTCTTTTACTTCTGCAGTCTACACAAGAGTTAAATTTAGAATAATCAAACATATAAGTTAAATATTTACATAAAAACATATAAGTTAAATATTTACCTGGCCAATAATTCTCGTACCAGATCTTTGTCTTCCTTCAATCTGAGCAACGCACCCGCAGAACTTGTTGACAGATAGTTGAATCGTTGACCAACGGTGCATCATTTGGTTTGGTGTGCGATTCGTTGGATCGGTGGAGTATTGGATAAAGTAATCGTTAGCTCTGTGCCAAAACTTATCTTTGTGTTGCCCCGTACCTTGGATGGCGTCTTGGCTCGTGTTCAGCCAAGCAGACATAAGAAGCTTATCCTCGTGGACAGTCTAATTTTCGGACCGCGTGTAAGCCTTATTCTTCTTTGTGGTTGGTGTTTCTTGGGATGACACTTGTTGTGTTGCGGATTGCGAGAACTCGATGGGATGACCTTCTTCTCCGACTTCTGTATAGAACGGCGAGTATAAGGTCGATCTTTCACCGGTAAGGAGATGCGAATAATAGTTTTGTGAGGGATCCTTGAGATTTGTAATTTGATAGGGATATAAAGAGTTTTTTTATGAGAGAGTTGTGTGAAATAATTTGAGTAGTGAGATGTGAATTTATAGATGTTTTTTACAACAGTAAATTTTCAACAGCATGATTTTTCAACGGTCCAATTTTCACAACGGTACAATTTTCACAACGTATCATTTTCCAACGACATGAATTTTCAACGGCTGCATTTTCACAACGTTCGATTATCATCTCCGCACAATTTCAACGAAAATTTCAACGAAAATTTCACAACTCATTCACCTCAAACAACGCACTCCATTAAAAAAAAATTAAATTAATCTTCTCCCTTCGACAACAGACCCAACCCCAAATTCATCTTCACCTCAAACAACTCATTCCCTTCGACATCATCTTCGCCATCATCTCCGCCATCAAGAATCATCTCCGCCATCATCCATCAAATTCGTCGACATCATCTCCGCCATCATCTCCGCCATCAAGAATCATCTCCGCCATCATCTCCGCCATCACTCTCCGCCATCATCCATCATCTCCGCCATCATCTCCGCCTTCAGTCTCCGATCCCACCCCGAAGTCTCCGATCCCACCGCTGATTTCTGATTTTGGAGGGGGGGTTTTGTAAAACCTCTCCCAGTTGGGAGCTCCCAAGCGCTCCACAAATTTGTGGAGCGCTTGGGAGCTCCGAAGTTGGAGGCCGCCACGTCAGCGCTTGGGAGGTCCTTGAGAGCGCTTCAGAGGCTGTTGGAGGGGGTTAAATCGGAGACTGAGGCCACGTCGGAGCTGAGAGCGAAGCTGGGAGCTTGCTGCCCATGCTCTAAAACAAAGTTCAAGGAGGTTATTGTGGGAATCGCTTCAAAGTTTTGGTTTTTGTTGGTAATTTACAGTCAATCACATTCACATTCCTCAGCCTTGTTAAACACATTAATATTGATTATTATCCGTACTCATTTGATCAGTACTCAATAACTTTAGATCCAGTATCGATCAAGATTGTCATCCCTATTTATAGCACAGAAACTGTTCGATTCCAAAAACACAATGGAATGCCGTGTAATTTCTTGGCTAGCAACAGCTCATACTTTGCTTTGCGTGATGTTAACAATGCGGGTATACTTTTCTTACTATGGGCTTTGGGCCCCACGCGCAGAAATGACCTTTGTCTCTTTCATGTTTTAAATGAGATCTTAATTCTTTTTGCCGCGAATCATATAAGCAACTTCCTCAATTATTATTAAACAAAATTATAAGGAAAAATTCTGAGGATTGAGTGAGCTGGAGGGGCTAAAATGAAGTTTTGGAGTGTATTTTGGATTTATACTAAACTTTAAAAGTACAGGGGACTGTTGCACATTGTTTTTTCAATTTTAGGGCATTGAAGCAATTTTTCCAAATTATAATTAGTAGATATTCCTTTTCTTATTCAACCCAAGTGTTCAGTTGCAGCCGCTTTATCTCCATCACCAAACTAGGATTCCTTCCAACTGTGCTTTGGTCCAATCCAGCCCACACAAACACTCAAAACATATCTCTGTGTCAACCTTTCTTTTATTTATATATATATATATATATATATATTAAAAATACTATTTGCAGCCGCTTTATCTCCATCACCAAACTAGGATTCCTTCCAACTGTGCTTTGGTCCAATCCAGCCCACACAAACACTCAAAACATATCTCTGTGTCAACCTTTCTTTTATTTATATATATATATATATATATATATTAAAAATACTATCGTTAGATTAAAACTTTCATCTACATGCCTATGTTCTTAGGATTTAGCCTTGAAAAAATAACGGCACATTACTGTAAGATCTAGAAGAACTGTTAAATAATCTACGATCAGCTACGGAGTTACAATTATCAATTCATAATCACCCACGTAAATTACATGCCGCACATTTGACAATGACTAGGTATGTAATGCTAATCAGGAAGTACTAGTCGCGCTAACGTAGGGATGCAGCAGGCGATTTGGTTGAAATGTCACGCGATGTCTTAGAATTATGTGTTAGGTATATCCTAACAATGATTCATAGGTAACCTCACCCAACCCTGGCTCACATTGATAAGATTTAATACTTCAGAAATATGTAAATCCAATTAAGTTGTTACGAAAGGCTAAATAAATAAACCAACATTTCCCAAGGGCATAAATGCAAAAAAAAAGGACATTCGCTCTTTTTGTGACCATTTCCAAGTCAAAACCCACCTCCTATCTCTGCAGCTCCCAGGCTGCCACTGTATACCGAAACACGCTTCCTTCCCCTCCAAACCCCGAAACGACTACAAATAAATACCTGCACTTCTCTCATCCCATTCCCCACTCAAAAACTCACGTGTGCTACATGCGCGGCGACGTGCGCGCGGACGCGAGTTCTTCCTCCGTCTTTCTCTGCAACTCCAACACAACACGGCAGGAGAGGAGGATAAGACCCTACACCCGCAAATGGGAGGCCGGCACCATGAGCAGGATCGACGAGCTCCGCCTTCGCCCGACCAACGAAACCGGCTCGGCTTGCGACGTGGTCCACGACGTCCCGGCGGTGTTCTTCTCGACCGGTGGGTACACCGGGAATGTCTACCACGAGTTCAACGATGGGATAATCCCTCTCTATGTAACTTCGCAGAAGTTCAATAGGAAAGTCGTGTTCGTGATATTGGAGTATCACGACTGGTGGGTAAGCAAGTACGCGAACATCCTCTCCAGGCTCTCCGATTTCGACCCCATCGACTTCGGCAGCGATAAGAGGGTACACTGCTTCCCTGAGGCCATAGTAGGCCTCAAGATTCACGACGAGCTCGCCATCGATTCGACCAAGATGGAGAACAATAAGACTATTCGAGACTTTCGAAACCTGCTCGATGAGTCTTACAAGCCAAGAATCGAGCACATCAAACAAGAAGAAGGAGGTGCAGATAACAAGCAGCAACGGATACGGACACCCGATTCACGGCCCAGACTCGTGGTCGTGTCACGAAACGGGTCGAGAGGGATCGAGAACGAGCCCGAATTGGTGAACCTGGCGGCCAAAATCGGGTTCAGGGTCGAAGTCCTCCGCCCTGACAGAACGACAGAGCTCGCCAAGATATACCGATCGCTGAACTCCTCTGACGTGATGATTGGAGTTCACGGGGCCGCGATGACGCACCTCTTGTTCATGAGACCCGGCACGGTGTTCATACAAATAGTGCCGTTGGGGACGGACTGGGCGGCCGAGACGTACTACGGCGAGCCGGCGAAGAAGCTGGGACTGGAGTACATGGGATATAAGATTTTGCCGAGTGAGAGTTCGTTGTACAGAGAATATGAGAAGGATGATGCCGTGTTGAGAGATCCTGAGAGCGTGAATGCGAGAGGGTGGGAGGTTACGAAGAGGGTTTATTTGGATGGGCGTGTTGAGAGATCCTGAGAGCGTGAATGCGAGAGGGTGGGAGGTTACGAAGAGGGTTTATTTGGATGGGCAAAATGTGAGGTTGGATTTGCATGAATGCGAGAGGGTGGGAGGTTACGAAGAGGGTTTATTTGGATGGGCAAAATGTGAGGTTGGATTTGCACAGATTTAGAAAAAGACTCGTTAAGGCTTATGGGATTCTGAAACAGAGGAGGAGGTAGCAGAGAGGATTTGGTGGTGTTGTACATTGTAGATTGTAGAGAGGAGATTCGTGAAGCTTGTTGAAATTTCTTTTTCCCCCTTTCTTCATTGATTTTGGGTGAATTTGTTCGTGTAAATTTGTTGAAATAAATAGGATTTGGACCTGCTGAAATTCTCTCTTTTGTGCAGAATGATGGAGTTGTATCCCTCTGTTGGTGAATGATTTATATGTTTAAATTAGTAATGGGCAGAATCTGAATTATTTTACAAGCATCTTCTTAGTTAATTGTGTTCGCTAAAAGTTATAACATGCCAAGTAATTTTCAATTGATGTGCTTTCGCTTGTTCTGTGTTGTGAAGAGAAAATGTCGTGGTATCTCATACCCAAACCTTGATGGTGCACAAAACAAATATTACCATCTGATTGTTGGATAGCAGGTTCCTAATCTGTTTCCTAATTTGTTTTGGTAACATGTTATTAGGATTCCTAATCTGTTTTGTTTTTTATTTTAGAATTCCTAGTATGTTTATGATTTTAGGATTTCTATATATATGGAACAATTGGAAGAGAGAATTGAGAAGAAAATTAGGGATATTTGGAGCATAGAAAAGAGTTATTTTCTGAGCTATTGGTTAGGGTTTTGTTTGGAGAGAATTAGAGATTTGTTGGTGAGATTAATTGGTGAGTTTGAGTGATTTGTAATATTAGTTTGTACTCTTCTTCTCTATTAGTGAAAAACCATATCCTCTTCTTGCCCGTGGACGTAGGCAACTTGCCGAACCACGTTAACATTGGTTGTTTGTGTTTGTGGCATTGATTTGGTTCGTTTGGCCTTCTCTCGACGTTCGTTTGATTTGATTTCTTGTAGCACGTTGGTTTGGTGGTTCGTTTGGCCTTCTCTCGACGTTCGTTTGATTTGATTTCTTGTAGCACGTTGGTTTGGTTGTTTGGTTGTTTGGCTTCCGCAGCGCTCAACACTGATTCCAACCATAATTTCAATTTATTCATACTCAAGAATTGAATAAATTGATAAGCACGTTCTTCATTGTAATACAGTTACCCGGTTCCCTCCGCATATTACTATTTCTACTTTCTTTTACGAGGTAAATTTTATCCAACTTCACAAAGGAAGACCATGGCCTTGTATTTTACAAGCTTTTCTGGCATACACTAGGCTTCTTGTTACCAGTTACACTCTCCATGATATTAGCGCAAACAGAGGAGATGCCAGATTTTATGCCATTCTTGACAAAATCCAAGTGTATATCCTCAAGATGCACATTCTTGCAAGGTTTGGTGGGGCTACAAATCAAGTTCACTGCTTCAACTTCTGAGGAATTTCCTATAATATTCTTGAACACGACATTGCTTATTTGCACTCCTGAAGGCTGCATGAAGAAAGAAATAAGTTAAAAGATCATGAATACCAATATATCACTTACGTTATTGGGTTAATTGCATATAATGTAGTTATTTATATCTTCTAAACTATTTTGTTAGCTCAAGTAATATAAGTAGATTTTCAAGAGAAACAAATATACTTTTTTCCGTTCGGAAGTAAAATAAGTAATAATGTTCACTTTTTTTCTTCGCCTATTTCATAGCTACATCCACTTCACCGACTCCATAGCTATTTCCATGAAAATAAACATGCTCTTACTTGAGGTTACCAAAAAAAGTATTAGAACAGTAGTTGGAGGTTTACCGAATTTGGGCAATTTTTGGAACCGCAATATCCTTGGTCTATGATTATAGGGTTGCTCACATTCTTCACGATAATATTCTCAAAGGAAAGGTCTTTAGCAACTGTGGTTTGATGACCAGCCCATGTCTTGACTCTCACACCGTTCTGTGAGTTCTCTATCGTGCAATTGCTCACTTTGATGCCCAGCACATCTTTCTCCTTGGGATACTTGCCCAAGCTTCCAATGCTGAAAAATTATATCCAAGGTTAAATAGTTGTGTCAAAGTTGATTGCGGATAGACCCATGCAGTACTGCTTTTCTAAACTTACTGCCTCTCTAGCTTTATTGTTGCATAAAGACCATTTTCCCTCAAAGAAGAAGAAATTTATATATATTTTTTAAAAAATACAAATAAACCCGCTGAAGATAAAAAGGGTAAAAAAAAATTTCACTACAGAAATAAAACTAGAGTGATTGGGGGTATTCACAATTGACCCTAAATTTATAACTTAGATTTAAATCGGTTACCTGATTCCGTGACCCGGACTGCAGGTCACACCGGATATGGTGGAGTTATATGTCCCAGGACCGACGGAGATGCAATCATCACCGGTGCTGACGAACAAATTGGATATATCGACGAATGTCGAGCCGCTTACATGGCAACCGTCAGTGTTTGGACTGTTTTGAGGAGCTATGATCTTTAATCCCGCAGCTTTAACGTGATCGCTCATGTGAATTGCCATGTGGAAGCCTTTACTGTCGACGAGCGTTATACCGGTGATGGACGCATTGCTGAGCTTGATCAGGCGCAACGTCTGCGAAAAATGACACACACGGTGTGAATCCTTGAAGGGCTTAAATTCATACCGTACGTCCGTTTATTTAATTTTTTTAAGGATTATTCACATTGAGGTACCTTGTGGTATAGTGTAATTACACGAATGACGTACTCCAGGGTTTGTGTATATATATCTCCATGCATAACAGTGAGATTACTAAGTAAACCTCGAGTGACCCTAACATTACGTTCATTAAGGTAATTACCTGTCTGATCTAAGTCTGTGATCTCAAGTTAATTACCGGTATGTAAACAATCCAAATTTCAAAAAAGAACACAAGAACTTACAATTGGAAGATTCTTGCAGGACTTTGATCCCGGACAAGTGGTCTTCTTCCAAGCTTCGGTACCTTTTCCGTCCAAAGTTCCACCTCCGTTGACGGCGAGTCCATTGAGGGATCTAAACTCGATCCAACCAACGGTTTTGATTTGATTGAGATCCTCAGGAGCCACTATTGTCCCTTGGATCTCCATCGTAGGAGATCCATTATTTGCACAAGGACCCCGGAAGCTCACCGGGCCAAGGTAGTAAGCTCCTTTAGGGACCAAGACTTTGCCCGCGGATCCAATTTCGCAGGCAGCCCCCCAAGCATTCAAAAATGCCTGTAAAAAAATTATAAAAATTTACATAAAGAATCATACTATTTCGTTAAAATTGTGATAAAACGTTAAACATACAACATGAACTTACGTTTGCATTATCGGTCTTTCCGTCAGCCTTCGCCCCATACTTCGTCACGTCGAAAACTTGTAGGGCATAAATACCTTGTATCATGCATACAAGTAATGAAGAAATGGAGACTAGTTTGATTAAGGCCATAATTTTTTGTGTTTTTGGTTAAAATGTGGAGAACAATGATAATATAACCTAAGTCACTTATACAATGATCCCAACTTTAATAGGAAATTGGGGTATATAAGAAGAAACACCTCCAACGTATCGGGATTTTCCCGATATGGCTGTGTTCCTTTGGATGGTTTCGGCCGATATTGGCCGATACGTTTGAGGACTTGACGACGTTGGATCAAACCCCAGGAATTAAAGAAAGGAATGGGGTATTTATACGCACAACAAAAAGGGAATGAGAGGAGAAGAGGAAATTGAGGAGGCAATGCAGCAGAAAAAAAGGTGGTATCGCGTCTTTAATCACCAATTCTGGGGAAATATTTGAGGATGAACGGAATGGTTCACGATTTGTCTCATAATAGCCACTGAATCAGTCTCATAATAAGCAAGTGACAAGCTAATTTATCATGCCCCGTGATATTCGATTAAACATTTTTTATTCATTCAATCTTTTTTTTTCCTTTACCTTGCCGTCTCGATCAGGCGTAATGGTTTATGACAAAATTTTTCATTCATTCAATCTTATTAATATCTTTTCATGCATTGGCTAGTTTAACCCTAGGGCTTATTTTGTGAAGCTTATAAGCTATGCATGCTGGATTTTGGTGGCTATTTTAATTAATTAAGTTTTTTTTTTTCGGGGGGATAGGGCAAGGTGCCCTAATATTAACAAAAATATTAAAAAATAATCAATATTTACATGTAAAGGATTTGGTGGCTTTTGGATTTTATAATAAAAACTTGGGGTTTTTTATACAAAACCACCACAAGATATAGTGGTTTTTCGGAGAACTACCACAAAGTTTTTATTTTTCATAGAACCACTGTGAAAATATGATTCTATGAATCTTTTACAAAGTCCCACCAAGTATAATTTATTGTGAGCAGCGAAAATTTCGGCAGCACCTCTGGTGCTCGACAAGAGAGTAGATCTCAATTAAATCCCTGTTTTACAAAGGAAACAAGAACCAAAAGTAAAATATCTCAACAAAGTGGGATATCAGCTCTTCCTCTCATCACTTCTAGGACTGATCTGTTGAGTGAACCTAAACTCTCAATTACAAATCACAGCATGAACAATCAATTTTAACGGGGTTCGACAAATTGCCTACATCCACAGGGTAAGGAGGGGGAGATCTACTATTAGAGGGAGAGAGTACAAATAGGGTTTACAATCATACAACTCTCACAAATTAAACCCTCAAATAACTCTCTAAAAAACCTCTGCGAATTACCCTGTTGCACGCAGCCAAGCCTCTGCATTTTCCTCACCTTTTGCACAGCCGCAAAAAATCAATCTGCTTTTTACTCACCTGCACTTGCACGTTCCCCCTTTTGCTCCAACTGCACGAAACCCTAGGCAAGAGTTTTTATAAACCTCTGTCGTGTCTTCAGGTGGGCCTTTGCTTTATCTGAGCAAACAATTGCTCTTCACGCGGTTTCCCTTTGCAGCCCAAAAAACATCCACTGGATCTTAGCCTCTCATGCGGTTTGTAGGCTCCACCCCTCCGTCCGCTGGATCTTAGCCTGTTAGCCTTCTACGTGCTTCACAATTCTCTACCTCGGTGAAGTTTTTCCAGAAACTGAGCCGATACCAACCAAAACAAATGCCACACTTTTTACGTCCAGTACGAAGTGAAACGATTCACGACAACAGACTCAATCCACAACAAGTCGAGAACCCAATTGAGAATGCGAACAAACTCCAAATATCGGTATATACTCCTAAATCGGCTGCATCATAAATGACTACCTACGTATCTTCTTGCCCAAGGAACCAAGCCTTTATGTAGTTCACCCAATGGCCTCCAAAAGACCTCAATCAAATAGAAAAGTTTATAATTCTTCACCAACATCACCAACGGATCTGCAACTGATAACTCTCCCAAAGGCCCCAAACTGAAACATATCAAACACCTCCATCCGAGGTGAACCAATGGTCGTATCCAAATTATTTCCACCAGCTGTACTCAAATCCAAAAACAACTCATCATTCGCATCCAAATCCAAATGATCCCCTAACTATGTTACCTCAGCTGGAATCCCAAACGATACAGAATAATCTGGAGTATGTGGAATAATCTTCACCCAATGTGAAGTAGCATCACTCTCCACTTGCTGTGATACCTCTATGATCTGTCCAAAACTCTCTACCTGCTGAGAGTCAATAGGCTCCCTCATCGAAGCCTCATCCAATATGACATTACCAGACTAAATATCCAATTGAGTTTTACTTCCAATCACAACAGTTGATAACTCTTCAATAGGATGACCTAAATATATCGAAGTCTCAATCCAGAAACCCTTCTGCAGACCATTGCTTAACAACCAATACCGATCCTCCTCCAGCAAGGCATGATTCTCAAAATTTGCCACCACCCTATATAGTTGCCCTAAGATTTCCTTTCCAATGAAGTGTCTCGAAATACCATGAGCTTGGTTCCAAAACAAAAACAGGTCCATCTTGTACCTCCCACCAAAATCAGAATGAAGTACATTCACCTTTCTGTCTATCACACACTTCTTCATCTGTTGGAGACTACTAGGATTTTATCCAAAGGAGATTTGGTTGTAACCCAAACACGCCTAGAACAACCACCAACAAAGGAGACCAAACATCTATTTTTTCCTAATGATGCCTCCTTGAAAGGCCCCCAAACATCCATGTGAACTCCATCTGAAAGACCCTCTGTGCGGTGAATAGAGATGTCAAACTTCACATTGGTCTTCTTGCTCACACAAAAGTGTTCACTGGATTTCAAATTACAGATCGTTGTACCCATCTCCAAATCAATACTGGAATGACAAAGCCCCAAATGCCGCAGTCTAGTCGAATCAATAGAAGTCGCCAGCTCTCTACCTGTCACTTTATCTCCAATCAAATAGTACATATTATTCCTCCTGACACCCTTCATCACAATTAAAGAGTCTTCCACGATCTGGAGAACCATGTCCTCAACACAAACCTTTAGACCCTCTCCAACCAAAGCTCCAATTGAGATCAAGTTCTTCCTCAAGGAAGGAACATATCTTATATCATATAACTCTCTAACAGTCTCGTCAAACATCTTGATATGAATTCTTCCTATCCTAAGGATCTGGCATGCACAGTTGTCTCCCATGTACACAACATCACTATCTAGTTTCTTAAAACTAGATAACCATTCTCTTCTAGGAAACACATGCTAGGTCGCACCACTATCCAATATCCACTCGGATTCCTCCAAATAGCTACCTATAGGACTGATAGAAAATGAATAAATAGAAGTATTATAAATATTATCATCCGATATAACGATGTTTGCTTCTGATGATGGTTGCTTCCCTTTTCCCTTCTGCTTATTCTTCATTCATTCGTCGAGCTTTGGACAATCTTTCTTCCAATGACCAGTCTTATTGCACCAAGCACACTAATCTTTTCTAACTGTGGGATGCCCTACTCTAGACCGTGACTTCCAATTCTTTCAGTTTGGATTCTTCTTTCTTGCAACCAATGCCTTCGCTACGGGTTCAACTAAAGCCTCCTTATCATTCTTTCGAAGCTGATAGTTTACAAGTGCAGTGATGACCTCACTATACGAAAGAGATGCTTTCCCATTAATTAGGGTAAGAACAAATGTCTCGTATTCCTCATTAGGTAAGGAACTCAACAACAACAACGCATTATCCTCATCTTTAATCATAACATTCACATTCGCCAAATCCGTAAGAAGCTTCGTGTAGTGATTCATGTGATCACTAATAGAGGTTCCCTTCTTCAATTGGGAGCGATAAAGCTTTCTCTTCAAATGCAAGTAATTTTCCACACGCTTGGTCAAATACTTGCTCTCAAGAGTCTCCCAAATCTTCTTTGCAGAAGTCTTATTTATATCATCATACTTCAAATCTTGTGTTAAACCAGACCTAATAACACCGCATGCCGTATGATTCATCTTCTTCTGAACATTCTCTTCAATATCATCTGGCTTACCATTTAACTCCAAAGTCTCTTCCAAATTTTGCGCGTTCAGCGCATCCAAAACTTCGCATCGGCAAAGTCCAAAGTTGTTCGTGCCATTATATTTCTCCACATCTATTTTTGTAGAGTGGATATTCAAACTTTGAATGATCTTCACACCAGAAACACCACCCTCAACACCTTCTTTCTCGGCCATATTCCTCAACACACTAACAAACAATGCGGAACAAACTGAATAATAGATCCAAACTTGAGAAAGATGGAGCCTTTACTAAAAAAAAGATCCCACCTTTAACTCCAATTGAAACCCTAGACGAGCTTCTAAAGTGATCTACTCCTCTAAATTGCCCAAGTGTAGCCCGAGCTCTGATACCACATATTGTGAGCAGCAGAAATTTTGACAGCACCTCTGGTGCTCGACAAGAGAGTAGATCTCAATAAATCCCTGTTTCACAAAGAAAACAAGAAGCAAAAGTAGGGATATCAGCTCTTCCTCTCATCAGTTCTAGGACTGACCTATCGAGGGAATCTAAACTCTTAATTACAAATCACAACACGAACAATCAATTTTAACGTGGTTCGAAAAATTACCTATGTCCACGGGACAAGGAGGGGGAGATCTACTATTAGAGGGAGAGAGTACAAATAGGGTTTACAATCATACAACTCTCATAAATTAAACCCTCAAATAACTCTCTAAAAAACCTCTGCGAATTTCCCTGTTGTACGCAGCCAAGCCTCTGCGTTTTCCTCACCTTTTGCACAGCCGCAAAAAATCAATCTGCTTTTTCCTCACCTGCACTTGCACGTTCCCCCTTTTGCTCTAACTGCACGAAACCCTAGGCAAGGGTTTTTATAAACCTCTGTCGTGTCTTTGGGTGGGCCTTTGCTTTATCTGAGCAAACAATTGCTCTTCACGCGGTTTCCCTTTGTAGCCCAAAAAACATCCGCTGGATCTTAGCCTCCCACGCGGTTTGAATCCGTAGGATCTTAGCCTCCCATGCAGTTTGTAGGCTCCACCCCTCTGTCCGCTGGATCTTAGCCTCTTAGCCTCCCACGTGCTTCACATAATTTACATCAATATTTTTTTAAAATAATAGTATAGAACAACATAAATGTCCATTATGAAAATATTTTGAGAGAGGATGAGTGGTTCAAGGAAATTTAAAATTTATTGAGAGAATTTGCAAAGTTGTAGAGGAAACTAAGGTATTTTGTTGGTA